GGGGAGACGTGGACTGTACTAGAACCATATTATTTGCTATGTCTTACAGTACCAGAAGTAGGAGACCACAAAGGAAGAGATAGCAGGCTTAAAACAAAAGAAAATACTTTGCGTATCTAAATACAGTTGTTCTGTGCATCCACAAGACATTGTAGAGACCAAAAGCACCACCTGGTTTAAAAATCAGTAAGACATAGACAGAGAATAAATCCACCAAAGGCTACTAAACAAACATACTGATGCAACTTCTAGGTCAGACAGTCTTCAAAGCAGCAGATTCCTAGAGAATGTGAGAGTACCCACTGTATGCTTGCCCTTACACTTTTTCCATGAAAACCCATTTCAGGTCACCACCCCTAGAGCATTCCTCTAGAGAAGGACTGGTCTGAGCCCCTTCCAGACTGGAAAGACTTCAGCACACACAGGCAAAAGAGGTAGGAGCCTGGGACCCAAGACAAGAGATCAGGGGGTTGTAACTCAAGAAAACCCAGGATCATAATGAGGCTCAGCAGCTCAAGGTGAGGAAACTGCAGTGGTAAAACAGAGTATACAATGGCAGCACACCCACCTTCTTGACGAGTACGGAAGCTGTGACAAGAGGAGCACTGGGGCTAGAGGTATAAGGATATCTCAAAGCACAAATTTTCATTTGCTGGTACCTCCCAGCTAGGTGTTGAGTAAGGCCAAGACCAAGAGTTTCTAAGACTTCTTGGGGCCTTAAGCAGCAAATAAATAAAACACTGAAGGAAGAAATACAGCAGAAACATAGCAAGACGTGTGGGTGTACTGAACCATCCCCTTTGACCACATGCCCAGTGCCCTATGAAAGATCTAGTTTGTGTCCTGTGTTGCCCATGGATTTGGTAAAGAACGAAGAAGGGCCTGCTGGGATCCCTCACATGCTTTTAGTGGTGATAGGCCTTGCTACCGTTCTGTATGCTGGGGAAAGTAGAAGAGGAGAAAGTACAGAAAGTACAAAAATTGCAGGGCATAATCATTTATAAGGCCCTCAGCTACCTGATCCAGCATTAAAGTCAGGCCTGTTGTGAGCAGGGGGTCGGATTAGGGACCTCCAAACATCCCTCACTGCCTTGCCTTTCTGTGAATCTAAAATGCTCAGTACCTGCTACCCACCCCTGCTGTAGAACAAGGCTTGGCAACAGAAGATGTGGATGTGGCTGGAAATGCAAACTAGGATCAAGATACTTACGGAGCCCCAGTGCAAGCCTGGTTCAGAGGTGGCCAGAGATAGTGTTGCAGAGGGCAGGCAAAAGGTGCGAACTGGAACCAGAATGCAGATTCGATCAGCCAGCTGCTGTTCCCCGCACCAACACTCCATTTCCAAAGACAATTCTTAACAGCACAAGGTTAGACATGGTCTGGACAGAGGCAACTCAGTCTTCACTCAGCCCTAAGAGACTAAATAGGGACTAGTGTCTAGGTGAAGATCTGGCCTCAGCAAAGGTAGCACAGATGCTGTGAGATGATTTAAGGTGGGAGCGAAGAAAGTGAGAAGCATTTACAGGGAAA